TCTTATATGATTGTGTTATTTACTTATTACTGTATATAGATGACATGCTTATTGTAGCTAAAAGCATATCACAAATTGATACTTTGAAAAATAGTTAGGTGAAGAGTTTGAGATGAAAGATTTGGGTATAGCAAGAAAAATATTAGGAATGGAGATTACTTGAGATAGAAGTACTGAAAAACTTTTCTTGTCCAACAATCATATGTTGAAAAGGTATTGCGACGTTTTAATATGAGTAATGCAAAGTCCGTAATTATTTAATTTAATATCCACTTCAAGTTATCTGCATATATGTCATCAAAAACAGATAAAGACATGGAACATATATCCAATATTTCATACTCGAGTGCTTAGGTAGTATTATGTATGTCATGGTTTGTACTCGTCTTGATATTTCTCATACAATTAGTGTAATGAGTAGATACGTGGCGTATCCTAATAAACAACATTAACAAACAATGAAATGGATTTTAAGGTACTTAAAAAGTACAACAGATGTGGGTATGATATTTGACAAAACCAATATGAGTGACTCAATTGTAGGTTATGTGGATTCAGACTATACATGGGATTTGGATAGGATGAGATCTCTTATAGGTTACTACTTATTTACTCTATCTAGAAGTGTTATTAGCTGAAAGGAAACATCGCAAGCTACAATAGTCTTATCTAACGCAGATGCTGAATTTATTGCTTTAACATAAGTAGTAAAAGAGGCTATTTGGCTACAAGGTTTTGTGAGTGATCTTGGGTTAACATACAAAAATCTGACTATGTTTTATAATAGTCAAAGTGTCATACATCACACCAAGAACCTGATGTACCATGAGCAAATAAAGTATATTAACATCAAATATCATTTCATTTAGGACATTGTAGCACAAGATATTGTAGTTGTGCAACAGGTATCTACACAGGAAAATCCTGCATATATGATGACCAAAGCAATCCCAGTTAACAAGTTTATGCACTGTCTAAACTCAGTTGGAGTAAGAAATACTCACTAGTGCCTCGAGCAGACATTGTGGCAAGACAGAATGATAAGACGATCATTTTATTTGATGTTAAAAATAATTCTAGCTGAGGGAAAGATTTTTAGATGTGGCTAAATTCTGGGGATATCATATTTGATCATAAGAATATTTCTGTAATTATCGTGGAGATTATTTTATGTATATTCTGGAAAGTTCTGTGAGAAAAAAAGAAACTTAGTTCTTTATGTATTATACTGTTAGCTAATTGGTGATGTATTCTCTAAAATTATCATAGTAAAGAACTTTCTTGTTGTTTTTGTCCATGAATTAAGGCACACTATCGAACTATGTTAATTATTATGTGGTTTTTTTTTATTTTTACTTTCTTGTGATTATGCACAATTTAAAAATTAATTATTCTAATACTGGACAGGTTTATATGCAAGTGGATATTCATCTTTCTTATAACATTTATCCACTGTATGCTCCATCAAACCACAGTGTGTACACGTTGGCCTTTTAACACTAATTCCTCCAGAAGAAGTTCTATTTATTTGCATATAGGCCATTTGGCTCAAATTTTTGCATAAAAATTCATATATTTAAACTTCTTTCATGTGGTAAAATTAGAGCAAACACCTTGTTCAAGCCAGGCGATTGTCTATGAGTAGAATTTGGATATTAACTATATTAATGAACTTGTCTAGTCCTTTGAGAAATCTGATCACAATATCTTATTCCTAATACTTTCTAGTAACAGTAACAACATTTCATGTACACTGTGTTGTACAATCACATGCACGTATTGGCCTCAAATTCAATGACTCATCCCATAATATCTATATTTGAGTAAAATATCTAGTAACAGAGTATGTACCATGCTTTAAGGAGTAGATTTCTTCTTAAATATTTGATATTTTGACTACATCTCCTTATGCAAATCTATTGTGCAAATTCTTATATAAATTCTTTACATAATCTATCCAAGTTACACTCTGTATTATCTAAAGAGACAATGACATCACAATCCAAAAAAGAACAATGGTGTTACATCGTTCCCATACTTTATAAATTGGATCATTTTTATTCAGGGTCAGAATAGAACCATCTACAAACTTAAGTTTTATTTTCAAAACAATGTCACTCTCATTAATCTTGATCAAGAGTGAAAGTTACTACTCGTCAACATGGACATAAGTGAGCAGGAGCGACAAACTTTTATTCAGGTGTAGGTAAAATGGATTTACAAGAATTTCTTCCAACTTTGATGAATCTAGATTAACTGATGTAGTATCCATGTTAACTTTTTTGTTTTCTTTAAATTTCTTGATGAGTTCTTCGGTTGCTCAAATTTTAGAATAAATTATTCTTTGATTCTAGGGTTTCTTCTTTGATGTTAATTACGATGCAATCATAAAAATTGTTATTGTTCTGCAGCCATATTAGATTTTACGAGGAAAATAAAATTAAATGTAAGAAGAATGAATGAAAATCAAAAGAGATTTTGCCGAAATTAGTGAAGCTTGAAGAAGAACATTCGAGAAGTTGAGAGAGAGAGAGAGTAATGTGGGGTGGGGGAAGTATTTATATATAGAGAGATAAAAACTAACTTTTGCTGATCATGTAACTAACCCCACATTTACATCTAATTACATTTAATTCTCAATTAAGCATAATATCAATAAAAATGTTAACTTACTCTAATAGCACCAAAAAATTAGTCGGAGAATATGTACATATGTGTATATATATATATATCTTAGTGCCAAACTAAAAATGTATAAGTAGATATATATGGGGTTGACAAGCAAAAGAAAGACAGTATCTTACTTTGGTCTCGTGGAGTGTTTGCTACTTTGAGAACCATACAATTATGACATGATCGGACTGTTCTACGCACGTCATTTTCTTCGGAGACCAAAGTATTTGGATCAAGTGGTCACCGTTGGTTCCTTTCTTTTTCCTTTTTTTTTTATGATTAATCTAATTTCTTTTTAGGGGGAAAATACTAAATTTTTACAAAATTTACAATTTCATAAGAAATTAGTGTGAATTTACTATATTACCCATATCCCTCCAACGCCATATAAGAATGCAATGTTTGTTCTGGCAAAATTCTCTAGTATTAAAAAATTGAATAATGCATAATTTTCAGTCAAATTAAAAAGTAAACTATATTTTTATATTTAAAAATTAAATAAATTAGCATTATATATATTATCATATTAATTTTATTTTTATATTTTAAAATCTAAATGGATACTAATATCTTAAATTTCCCACTATCAATCTAGTCAGTAATATTAGTTTGCTAAAATTGGGAAAAAGACAAAAAATAATAATATTACAAATTAAAAATCACAAATCCCAAAACATAATTATGTCAACAAAACAATATAATTATATGCGTGCCTCTTTCTAATCCAATTGTTCCTTACTTAATCACGTCTAAACTTTCTTTATATATATATATATGTGTGTGTGTGTGTGTGTGTACATATATGTGTACGTATATATTGGCAGACAAAATTGAGTCTCAAAAAGGACAAGCCATATACGACCAAATTGAGAAAAGAGAAATAAATAGTGTTCATCTATTTTAACACGCGGAGAAAATTAAGTTACAAAATTTGATTTGGGTTAATTAATTACTTTGAACTTGACCACTCAAAAGTCCTTATTGCATTCTAAAATAAATATTAAAATAAGAATTTTTTTTTTTTTTGAAATAGTATATAAAGTAGATTGTTTAGCAACTTGGTGGATAAGTAGCTCCACAATTTTTCAGACGTTCATGTACCCTATACATATACATTGTATACGTACGTACACATTTCTACAAAAAGTGGTTCAAAGTTGATGGAGTCCTCAAAGCTTTAAAGATTTGACGAATGTCCTTTGAAATTTAATTATATATAAACAAAAAGGATATAGAGGATTAGATTTATGAAATTAAGCACATGAAAAACAATCTTTAAATCGGTCATGACCCATAATTAGTTTATGTTGAACCACATTAGTTATCGTGGGATTACAATTTGATTTTATTTTATTAGCTTAATTTTTCAAATATAGTTATACATTATACAATTTGAATATATTATTTTGTATCTCATTTATTATTCTTTTAATTATTTTTATTATATTATAAAATGTTACGAATTTGACTTGAATTATTTTTATTATATTATAATTAATGTATATATATTAATTAATTAATTTATAAAAATATATTTATTTATAATTTTAGCCATTGAATGGTAAAAATAAAATACATGGACAAATTTTTACTTATTTTGAAACACTAAAACTTTTTTGGAAGGTAAAAAAAAATTCTAAATTTTTATCCTTTGTAAATGTAAATAAAATAACATCGTGGTAAAAGGTAATAAACAAAAATATTAAAATTTTATATTTTATAAATCTGGATAAAGACCTTCAAAAAATCAAAATCAATGGTCAAACTTTTTTGGCTATATTTATATATATTACAATTTATTAACAGAAATAGAATCAATATTTTGATTTTAATTTTCCACCCTGGTCAAACAAAAAATAGAGAAGAAGAAGTGGTCAAAGCTGTTAAATTTTCTCATTATGATAATTTTACGCATAATATTAACAAATAAATACAAGTATTATTAATAAAATATAGATTAAATATTCAAAATTTGATTGCAGATTAAATGTATTACATTAAAAAGGCTAGTTTTCTGATTTGATTTTATCAAATCCAATCTTAAAATATAATATATAGCTTTATGTCGAATAATATGATATTAAATTATAACAAAATTATGCTACTCAAATTTTCAACAACGGTTTAATTTATTTTTAATTAATTTTAATCAGATTATGTCTTCAGTTTAAAATTAAATTGAGTAGATTTATTGTAGTAGTACGAGTAGATTGCTTCTTAAAAAAATTGAGTAAATTGGAAAAGTCCTCCGCTATATATATATAAATATATTAATTTTTTTTTATCTGAATCCCGTTATTTTGGTCTATTTCTATTTAACCCATGACACACGCTCCTATATATATATATATATCTATATATTTTTTTATATAAAACCAAACTTTTTAAAGAAACCAAGAAAACAGAAACTCGACCCACAGAAATTCTCTCCGCAAAACCCTTGAAAGCCTGGAATCCAAAAATGTCTCCCCACAACCGTTCTCCGTCTTCTTCTTCCTCTTTTCCCTCTTGTTTCCGACCGCCAACAGTCGCCACCGCCGACGACCACCATCTGCCGCCGCCTCCTCCACCGCCGGAAACTGTCTCGGGCAACCCAAACCTCACCACTTGCCTCTACCATACCCAGCTTGGTCTCTTCTCTCTCACCTGGTCCCGGACCTTCCTCGGTCACTCCCTCCATCTCCATCTCCACCCCGCGGACTTCTGCTCTTCTTCGTCTTCCCCAATCTCTCTTTCCTCCAACCCACTTCCTCTCTCGACCTTAAGCTTCCATCTGGAGATCAAACCCTTCATTTTCTGGAGGAAATATGGATCGAAGAAGCTCACGACGACTTCTGCGACTACACCGAAGATCCAGATCTTCTGGGACCTTTCTCGGGCCAAGTTCGGATACGGACCGGAACCCCATTCTGGGTTTTATATAGCTGTTGTCGTTGACGGCGAAATGGCTCTCCTCGTGGGGGATTGTACGCAGGAAGCTTACGCCAGAACCAAAGCTCAGAAGCAGGATGAAAGAGCTCAAGTTCTGGTTTTGAGAAGAGAGCATGTGTTTGGCAACAGGATTTACACTACGAAAGCCAGATTTGGGGGAAGGAACAGAGAGATTTCGATAGATTGCAGAGCCAATGAAGATGCCAGGTTGAATTTTAGCGTCGATGGCAAAAGGGTTTTGCAGATAAAGCGGCTAAAATGGAAATTTAGAGGCAACGAGAAGATCGACGTTGATGGGGTTTCAGTACAAATCTCATGGGACGTTTACAATTGGTTGTTTGACGACGCGAAGAGCAGCGGCAATGGCCACGCTGTGTTCATGTTCAGATTTGAGAATCCAGACCAGTTATCTCATGAACAAGATGACGAGTGCTGTCATGCCGAGAAAAACGGTGTCGTATCGTGGCAACAGAGCTCGTGCGGGTTCGGGATTAATGGGATAGAGTGGAGGAAGATGAGGAAGAGCTTTTTGCGGAGCGGGAGGAGCTCGTCTTCTTCGTCGATATCCATGTCTTCTGCTTCTTCTGGTTGCAGCTCGTCTGTAATGGAGTGGGCAAGCACGGAGGAGAGCGAGTTGAGCAGCGGCCCAATTGGGTTCTCTCTGCTGGTTTACGCATGGAAGAAATGAGGGAAAAGCTTTTCTTCTCTCTCGGCCGCCATAGCCAGTGAGCTTCACTAACCCACATTCGTTAATGAACATAGTAGAAATAATTAAAGAACTGAAGAATCCCACAGAAGATATTAGCGAATAGTTACAGATCGATATATTTCATCTAACACCTCTCTTTTCTACGAAATTGAATTCATTTGTAATTGTCTGATTACCAGAAATTATCACATTCTTGTTTGAATTCTCTCTGTGTAACATCTATTAAGTGCTAAAAATCGAAAATGACATCAACTGGTTCATGTCCATTTTCATTATTTGATTCTCTTGTCGTCTTCAACCTCTGTTTCGAGAGCATATCTTCGTCTGTGTATTTCATTTCGTGTGTTTGTTAATGGAAATTTCCATGTTATGCTGCCGCATATACGACAAGACGCATGTGAACGTGTTGGGGCGGGTCGGGTTATTCTGAGGTGTAGGTGGGGCGGGTGAGAAATTGGATGATTTTAAATACTTGACGTACATTTTTGTGAAACCTGCTCCGTCGAATCTGGACCGTCAATGTTGTTGACTAGGTACCAGATTAGTCGGGAGGAAACTTGCGTGGAAATTTTTCTCTGGATTCGCGACAATGTAAAGCGAGACAACAATATAATACCTGACCAAAAACGGCACCGAATTAAGAGAGAAATAGCCAATTGGATTTTTTATGGCTGTTTCTGTTGACCGTTTGACCACATCATAACTCACTTGTGTATATATACACACAAAGTATATTATTTATGTAATTAAAAAAGATTTGAAATTTATGTGTCTGTCAGTCTCGTGAATCTAAAGGCACGATATACATATTAGATTTTTCATCTCATTTTTTTATAAATAAAAAAAGTGGATTATAAATAAAAATAAACATAAAAACACTATGTGATTCGAAATTAAATCATTTGTAAAAAAATATGTATGTATCAATTATTTAATTAAAAAATATTTAGTATATTTATTTTCGACTTGGGATTTATTATAAAATATATTTTATTTAAGAGTACGACCTTTTTCTTTTTGAATATGGTTTGATGGGTGATTCAAAAGTATTCGCAATATTTGTTTTAAAAATTATTTTTACTAGTATATTTTTAAATTTTAGGTGTATGTATAGGTTACAAAAGAAGATTAGTTGTTTAGACTTTTGGGTATGATGGTTTTTAATTGTTTTGGTTGGTGTGTTTGGTGTTTACTATTTTTTTCAATAGGCCAATAGCCAATATTTTCCCTTCTCATCCCATGTTTCTCCCCATATAAGAAACTATTATATTATATATGTAGATTATATATATAATATAATCTAACTTTAATATTCTAAATGCGAAATCAAAATTGTAGCGGTTTATAGTTGGTAAATTTTCGTTCATGAATCTTTGTGAGTGTATAGTATGATTTTTTAAAAAGAAAAATCTTGTTCAACTTAAATTAAGAATAAATGTTCACATGTTCTAATTGTAAATAAGATGTAGAGATGTATGAATTTAAATATAAAAAACGTTGTATCATAACATAATTAGCGTAATGCTGGTGTTAACTGGCATCCATTATAACCATATATTTTTCTTAATCATCATTATTGTAAAGTAACAATTACAGTTTTTTTTTTTTTTTTTAATTAAAAAAATTAATGATTGCCATGATTAAAAGCAAATTCGAACTTGGAACTTTTTAGCTTTAAAACTATTAGTTTATCCAAATTAATTAGGCTTAATTAATTATTATAAAGTAAAGGCTACTGAACATGGGACAATATTAATATTGTATATAATCACTTCCTTTTAGTTATTTTTTAACAAAATAAAATAAATAGTATATTATATTTTTAATTCATCCTGAATATTTTAATTAAAAAAATATAGTGACTATAAAAATATTCATTTTATCAAATTAAAAAAAATAGTAAATTTTTTAAAATTTAACGCAATTTAATTATCGCAATCACAACAACTTATTATGTATTCAATTAAACTAAATTAAAATTTAAAATATAAAACTTTACATCATCAATAAAATTTAAATTTATAATTTTTAAATAAAATATAAAAATTTTAACAATTAATCAGATCTCCCTTGCCCGTCAGTTATTAAACTTCAATGAGAAGGAGTAGGAGTGCTTATCCAGATCTGGAATAATCTTATCCTTATCCACTGCATGTTGTAAAGTGCAAGTTGAGTAAAACAAGGATACGGGCATACCAATTTTCAGTTTTCACATAAAAATAAGCATCAACCGCAATAGCGTTATTACCTTTTTGATGAGGTCATAGGTTTATATATACTCGGAACCAAACAGTTGATTGCACAAAACCTGCATGCATAAAAACCAGGACAAGGACAATGCATCCTTCCTAATCCTTAGCCCAAGAAGTCAACCTTTATTTTCTTCTTCTAATTTATTTTTTAATTATTAAATTTATAACCAATAAAAATTTAATATTATAAAATGAAGAACTTTTTAATAATAATTTTCAACGGGGTTTTTAGTTATAGAGGAGATTGCATTTATAGTCGCCGGCGTTGATGACTTTTCTTTGAACTCCTTCGAGAGAGCTGTCAATGTACTGGTAGATCAATACTTATAGCCGACATAATCATGTACATATTTGATATATCTGTCTCTTTTTTATCATCTAAACACACCATACTGCCCCAGCGCTGACAAGTATATACAGATACACATATATATGTATATGTATATGTGTGTGGATGTAAGTACTTATTTTCATTAATTTAGGTGCACTAACCATTCCGCCGACAAGTCTTTGAGGATGTGCACTTACATATTTATTCGTTAAAAAAGCAAATTACGTTTGATGTTTCATATGTATATATACATACATGTTTTATGTGCATTTTTTATGCATGTATATGGTATACGTAAAAACATAAAATTGGTTTACATATAATATGTTATAAGTGGTAGTGAAGACAAATCAAAAGAGTAAGTTACTGATTCCAAAAAAGAAAAAGAAAAGGATATAAGATTATTGATATTTTTGGCTAAACGGGTTCTACGTAATGTTTGTATCAAGTGGCCGGCAACATAGAACCAAGTTAAAAAGAAAAAGTAGATTTCTCTCCTTTAATTATTTGTCTATTCCATATATATATATATATATATGTATATATGTAAACATATACAGATTACAACCATATTTTAGTAATTAAGTAATAAAATAGCAAAACTGAATTTAATTGACTATCAGAAAATAAGTGATTTTATTCCTATAAAAAATGGGACGTTATCAACTAATGGGTAAAAATATATATGCATAGTTCTGATATATATATATTTGTGTATGTGTGTGTGTGTGTATATATATATATATATATATATATGGGTTAAAGGCTCGAATTGTTTGTAAATTGGGTCTATTATAAACTTGCAGAGAAAGACAAAGAACACAATCAAAGTGCCACAGATCTTTATAACTTTATCTGAGCCGGCAAACTTTCTCCTAGACTGGACTTTGTCCCACAAAAGAAAGAAAATAAAACTACAGAGTTTCAGTTACAATACAGTCAAATTATAAGGTTGAAATTGTAATTTGCATATATATATATATATATATTTGTATGTGTGTGTGTATAATCTTGCTGAATTATGTAATGCCAATAGCTGAAACCATAAAAAGGGAAAGCAAGGTTTCCACAGCAAAGATAGTGAAACATTCATGAGTTGAATTGAGCTGAAAAAGATTTCTTAGCATATAAGTTGCCAAATTTTCTAAAGACATTGATCTTCCCATTCAACTTATAAAACAGAAAGCGTTTTATAGTAAACAGAAAACGCTGCTACAACAATTTCCAAGCAGCTGTTTCCTTAATTCACTCAAAAAGATTAGCACAACCCATATATTCTTTCTTTTTTTGTTTTCCTGATTTACTGTTGTTCCTTTTACTTATCCCTAAAGAGTTTCAAAAAGGCGAAAAAAAGAAAAAAGGTCAAGCTGATTTCAAAGCTTCAAGCTCTATGTGGATGGTGCCGAATCGGACACTAAGGAGAAGTTGGAGGAATTGGTCTTTGTTGACAACTTCTGGCTGCAGTTGCCGAAGGACAAGATAACAAGGAAGAGGGTGCAGAATGAGAGGAAGATACAAACCTACTTGAATGGCTTCTCAATTTCCTCTTTTCTCCCTCCTGAATCCTGTTTCCTGACTTAACTTGTCGAACCTTTGTTTCATTCAAGCCTGCTGGCAGGACGCAGTTGCAGAAGAGACCTAAAATTCGTGAACAAAGTACATGTAATCAAAATTAATTGCTTAGAGACGAGTGAAAGGAAATTCCTAAAAGATCGGTGTAATTCTGAATCATAATGCACTTGTAGCAATGTCAGGCAATTAAATGATTCAATTTTCGGAATTGACAGACAGCTGCATGTAAATTCTAAGATAATAATCAAAGGACGCCACCTAAAAATTCTGCCAGTTTTACCAACATCGAAAATATAAGTTGCAAAGCATCAGGTAACTGCACAAGATCATATCTTTATTGGTGTAAGTGCCGCATCGAACAATTGCTGCACTAATGTGGAATTATTGATAATTAAATCTTTAGCATTTTCAAAAGTGTTTTGCTAAAGTTAATAGTTTTCATAATTACAGGATGTGTGTAATAAGAGCTAAAAATCTGCAAGGATATAGAACAAAAATACATGTGACGAAAACAGTAGGTTAATAAATGTCAGTAGAAGACCTCCAGTGTTACAGTTTGTGCTTTTATTCTCTTAACTGAAATCTTGAAATCCTAAAAATACAGACATGGAAGTTGCCACTTGTTTTTGTATTATAAGGTATGATGTCCTGTAAAGAAAGTGAAGGATATAGCCATTCTCAATTTTGAGGCGGTTCATTAGTTATCGGCATTCTCAAGATTCATGTGGGTAAAATTCATAAAGAAGCTGCAGCATTGTGTCAGAAACCTTTGACATGGCTGTCCGATCTTGAGAAAGAAAGAAAGAAAGAGAGAAGAGAGAAACAAAGAGGGAAATATGAGAAATAATTATTATTCTTTTTCTTGATTTCTACAAGCATGGGAATATAGCCTTTTATAAGCTATTAAGTAATAAAAGCACCCCAATCACCGGCCTGAATCAATGGTCAATCGTGATGCAGCAGCAGCTGTTCTGAAAATACATTCAAGATACTGACCCTAACCCTAATCCTAACATGCAAGACTAGTTTACTCTTTGTTATTTCCCTTGTTACCCTTAATGTCTTGACACATTTAAAAGTTAAGAGGGAAAAAAGGGTGAAACCGAAAGCCCATTTCCGTATTTCTCTCTTTGGGAATGATGTCATCCCTCTGGAAAGGTTATTTGAACCAGAGCTCTCGTAGGTTATTGTTTCTCATGTTTTTCATCTTAATCCAATGGTTTGTCCAGCACATCAACCAGGCAATGTTGCCAATGAAGAGCAGGACCATAATATAGATGGTCATTCACACAATTGAAAGTTATGAGAATCTTAATGTGACCTTAGAAAGAGGTAAAACACAAACACTCGTTTCCATGTTTCTTTCTTGGGGCATTATGGCCACTTTCTGGAAAGGTTCACTGAACCACATCTGCCATAAATTTTGTTTCCAAGATTTTTCATCTTAATCCAAAAGTTTGTCCAGCTCACCAACTTATCAACTTTAATATCAGTACCATAAAGAAAAAAAGTGCAACCCAAGTAGATAAGCTACTTAAGAGAGCCATGATAAATGCCGGATGCAGCTCAGTTTCCATCTCAACAACAAAGCACATAATAAATGAACTAAAATCAATAAAAGACAAAAACATACGCATATCAAACACACATTATGCAGTTATATTCTTACCCAATCGAGCGAGCCGGTTGACCCAGCGAGGAATTGGCTTCCCAGTCAATCTGAGACACACATCATTGCAGAAGTGATTGCAGTTCTTGGTGATAAGATGGTAAGTATTACCAGAATACTCTTCAGCCAATTTCTCCATGAAAGCACGCACTTCCTTGGGACCTAAGTCTGTCCTTCCAATCAAAATTGATTTCCTATATGTGAAACCGGGGCACTGCTTTGGTTCCACCTCGAAAATCCCTGTTGTCACATGCTCGTGTGCCCCAAATCCATACTCGACTCCATGAACTACACCACAAAAATAAAGGGTGTAAGATGCAAGTTAAAAGGTAAATAGATGATAAAATTGGTAGGAATTCTTGAATCAATCATTTGCTTTAGTGATCTAGATAGGTACGCTCTGTTGGTTTACTTGGATAGTTAGAAAGAAGATTATCCTGTATGCTGTTCAGATCCTAAAAGCTTGAAATTTTCCTAAATTAACGAGTCAACAACAACCAGGTACCAACATATATAGAGAATCCAAGAAAATTATGCTTCTACTATTACTTTCTTGAGGGAGCTCTGCCTCTAGGTATCCCTATACATGGATCGAAAACAACATTAAGCAGAAATGTCAATCTTCCATGAACATGGAAACTGAAAAATGAAAATTGAAAAACCCATCTCAGGTAAGAAACAGAATCGTTACAACATCACTTTCTCTCAGTCTTAACAAACTTTTCTCCGCTTTTCCTCCAGTTTCTCACCAGACAAACAACTCATAAAATCCGCACTCCAAAATTATACCCCTATACACCCACAAACAACCAACTCACGCATATAAATTTAGACAGAAGCCACCAAATTAACGGCACAAACACCATCAAACCAAATAATGCAAAGCCCAGAAACGGAAAGAAACAGAAATAAAAGCGTACCCTGCACACCAGAATGATAGATCCCGAGCCCCAACCAATAAGCATAGCCATTAATCGGAGTCAAGTCATACACATTCAAGTAAACCGGAACGGAACCGACTTTCTTCTTCCGCTGCACCAAAACCATTCTACACAACATCTTTCCCTGCTCTAGAAAAAGAAATCCACCAACCAAGAAAATCCAATTCGGATCCCGGGCAGTGGCAGATCCGGAAGAGACTGATAAGGAAAGAGTTGGGCGGAGTTGGAAGAAGAAACTAACGGAGGTCAGTAGGAACAAATTAGAAAACGAATCATTAGCTCTGTAATTTTAAACCAGAGGAAGAATCTTCTCTACTGGGTTCTTCCCTGGCTGCCAAAAGCAACCGCACCATCAGCTTATCTTCCTGCTTTCCCTTTTTTAAGCTTAAGCATCCACTTTAAATTATTAATATTTTTTCCTTTTTTAATTATTTATAAAAAAAAAAAACTCAATATTGCTTTTTAGTAGCGAAGATGGTAGTTGTAATTACCCATGTACTTGGAGGTATTCACTAAATTGCCATCCAGTTTATGTCTGTATTTTAATTATCTTTCAGTTAAAAAAAAAGAAAACAAAATGAATTTTACTGCAGTTTTAAACCACTTTTAGATTAATTAGATGCTGAGTTACTGTGGTAAAAACTAGTAAGAGAATTGTAGCATGTGTTTCATGGTCTGTATACATAAAGATTACTATAAGTTGGTGGCATCAATTATGATTATGAAATATAAAAACATGAATAAATCATTCTTTACTTTAATACTTTCCATTTATATATATATATAAATATATTATTTAACGGGATCACTCTTTTTTTTTTTTTTAATTAAGAATGGGTCAAAGTTTATTTTCGGATTTTAGTCATTTAAGAAAAAAACATGTTATTTTTAGCATTCAGCTTTAACTTATTTCTTTAAAATATTTTAAAATTTTCTTTAAAATTATAAATATTTACATCTTTATATACCTTCTAGATTTTGTGATAAATATCTTTCTGATTTTAACTTATTAAAATTATTACACCAGTAGTTCTTGAAAAAAGAAATAAGTAATTTTCTTAAATAAGGATTTTGACAGATCCTATTTGTAAGACTAATGAAAGGGGCGAAACAGTAATTACAGATTCATTAATAGTTGTTTTTTAATTTAATCCTCGGAGAATGAATGGTCAGTATTTTATTTAGTTAGAATGGACATGCAAATAATAAAATATCAGAAATTGGGTTCGACCGGCGCCGTAGCAGCCCCAACCACCGTCAAATATTCAACAAGCTTTTACCCAATCGCCGCCGTTGAACGAAGAAGGCGAAGCCGTTAGTCGCTGAATTTTTATATTAACCGGACAGAGAATTGGAGATAATTACAAACATTGCCATTTAACTTCAACAATTCACCTAACACGGTCCAATTTTTTGATTTCTTTTTCGCGTACCAAGATTGAATTGAATAGTGTTCTATTAAAAAAATATTTAAATAAAATAACGTAGCATATTTATTGTTATTATTATTATTATTATTATTATTTTTTTTTAAAAAAAAGGGAATAAGAGAATTGACAGAGGGGGTGCTTACCGTTCTTCCT